GAGTAGTTTTTTCGTGTTACACAAGTTCCGGTTGAAAGTCGCCGTATAAATACAAGAGATAAATGTGCAGACATTCATGTTACGATGCTCGGTCTTTAGGCTAGACTCTCATAAACATCAGGTTAATTAATTAATTACAGGTGGGTATTATAAGAGCTGATTGGACAGCAACAATTATAAAACTAGAATGTTGCTAATGTAATTCTCTTTTTAATCCGAGCTTAGTCTACTAGATCTAGTGGTTATTTGATACAATATTTTTATTTTATTTTACATTCTTGCACTATGACTCATGACTCACCGATTCGATATCGAATATAGTGATCTAGATTCTAGATCCTATCTATATCACTGTAGATCTGTCTTGCTAAGAAGTACCTCCGACCAGAGGCGTAGCGAGGGGGGGGGGGGGGGCGGGGGCGGGGGGTGCGGACCGCACCGGGTGACACCATTTAGGGGTGACACCAAGGCAAAAAATAGCAAAATATATAGAGAAAACTTAAGGGGGGGGTGCAAATCGAAAGTTCGAGGAGGGGGGGGGTGCAAATCGAAAATTTGAGGGGGGTGGGGGTGAAATTTGAATGTTTCTCCCCGTGAAGGGTCGCTACGCCTCTGTGGGGGTGATACCATTAAGTGCCACACCGGGTGACACCCGACCTCGCTACGCCACTGCCTCCGACCTTTATCAAATCTTACCCCTAATTTAATAAGTAAAACAATGAAGATATACTATCAAAGCGTGATCATTATGGAGGACTGAGTCACAAATCTTAGCCCTAATTTTAAGTAATTTAATAAGTAAAATAATGAAGATATACTTACAAAGAGCGGTCGTTATGGAGTCACATTCTTCGTTTACTTGTGTACAATAGTTTTTTGGGCCGGAAACTCAAATAGTCACGTGTCTTTAACAGGAAGTAAAGGACTTAATTCTCGAGCCCTAATTAGATCACGTGACCACAACAACCCGACACGTGAATTGATTATTAAATGGGAAATATTGACATGTAATTACCGCCACCGTTTTTGGTCCAGCACTAGTGTGGGTCTGTCTGAAACCGTGTGGGCTTCCATCTAGTTCTAGCATCTAGAACCTACATAGGTGGTGACCAGAGGCGTAGCGAGGGTGGGTACATATGTCCCCGGGCGCCAACCCTAGGGGTCGCCAGAATGGGTTGGAAAAAAATTAAAAGCTCATTTTAGCTGCAGTTTTGCATAATAAATATTAAAAAAAATTGGGGGGGGGGGGGGGGCGCTATATTGAACGTTTGTCCTCGGGGGAGGGGGCGCCAAATTGAAAGTGTGTACCAGGGCGCCGGGAAGGGTCGCTACGCCTCTGGTGGTGACTACTGCTGGTCTGTCTAGCGTTAAATGGGATCTTTAATAAATGCAATTTCTGATTGACGTAAGGACATTCTAAATTGGTTAAATTGATGATACCTTCCAAGTCAGGGAATAAATAACTTTCCAGGGTTATTTTAAAAAGGGGGTGAGAGTTGAAAGGTTACACTATAGTGTGAACAACATGAACTGTTGAAATAATGGAGATAACAAAAAGATATGAAGTGATAAAATGAATCATTAGAAGAATGAGTGTTGTCATTTATAATATTTTTTTTTTTACTTTTTTCTTAATTAGTGGAGCCATCTAATTAGAAGATACTTAAGTGAAACAAGCGCGTGCCATCGGAATGGAGGCGGAGCCATGTTTGATCTTCACAGAGCACGTCAACCACTACAACAACCCCGCAGGGTTTCCTTCAGTACAGGTAAGATGGTAGTGAACCCTACAACAACCCTACAGGGTTTCCGTCAGTACAGGTTAGGTGGTAGTGAACCCTACAACAACCCTACAGGGTTTCCTTCAGTACAGGTTAGGTGGTAGTGAACCCTACAACAACCCTACAGGGTTTCCTTCAGTACAGGTTAGGTGGTAGTGAACCCTACAACAACCCTACAGGGTTTCCGTCAGTACAGGTTAGGTGGTAGTGAACCCTACAACAACCCTACAGGGTTTCCGTCAGTACAGGTTAGGTGGTAGTGAACCCTACAACAACCCTACAGGGTTTCCATCAGTACAGGTAAGGTGGTAGTGAACCCTACAACAACCCTACAGGGTTTCCGTCAGTACAGGTTAGGTGGTAGTGAACCCTGCAACAACCCTACAGGGTTTCCGTCAGTACAGGTTAGGTGGTAGTGAACCCTACAACAACCCTACAGGGTTTCCGTCAGTACAGGTTAGGTGGTAGTGAACCCTACAACAACCCTACAGGGTTTCCGTCAGTACAGGTTAGGTGGTAGTGAACCCTACAACAACCCTACAGGGTTTCCGTCAGTACAGGTTAGGTGGTAGTGAACCCTACAACAACCCTACAGGGTTTCCGTCAGTACAGGTTAGGTGGTAGTGAACCCTACAACAACCCTACAGGGTTTCCGTCAGTACAGGTTAGGTGGTAGTGAACCCTACAACAACCCTACAGGGTTTCCGTCAGTACAGGTTAGGTGGTAGTGAACCCTACAACAACCCTACAGGGTTTCCTTCAGTACAGGTTAGGTGGTAGTGAACCCTACAACAACCCTACAGGGTTTCCGTCAGTACAGGTTAGGTGGTAGTGAACCCTACAACAACCCTACAGGGTTTCCGTCAGTACAGGTTAGGTGGTAGTGAACCCTACAACAACCCTACAGGGTTTCCTTCAGTACAGGTTAGGTGGTAGTGAACCCTACAACAACCCTACAGGGTTTCCGTCAGTACAGGTAAGGTGGTAGTGAACCCTACAACAACCCTACAGGGTTTCCGTCAGTACAGGTTAGGTGGTAGTGAACCCTACAACAACCCTACAGGGTTTCCGTCAGTACAGGTAAGGTGGTAGTGAACCCTACAACAACCCTACAGGGTTTCCGTCAGTACAGGTTAGGTGGTAGTGAACCCTACAACAACCCTACAGGGTTTCCTTCAGTACAGGTTAGGTGGTAGTGAACCCTACAACAACCCTACAGGGTTTCCGTCAGTACAGGTTAGGTGGTAGTGAACCCTACAACAACCCTACAGGGTTTCCGTCAGTACAGGTAAGGTGGTAGTGTAGTGAACCCTACAACAACCCTACAGGGTTTCCGTCAGTACAGGTTAGGTGGTAGTGAACCCTACAACAACCCTACAGGGTTTCCGTCAGTACAGGTTAGGTGGTAGTGAACCCTACAACAACCCTACAGGGTTTCCGTCAGTACAGGTAAGGTGGTAGTGAACCCTACAACAACCCTACAGGGTTTCCGTCAGTACAGGTTAGGTGGTAGTGAACCCTACAACAACCCTACAGGGTTTCCGTCAGTACAGGTTAGGTGGTAGTGAACCCTACAACAACCCTACAGGGTTTCCGTCAGTACAGGTTAGGTGGTAGTGAACCCTACAACAACCCTACAGGGTTTCCGTCAGTACAGGTAAGGTGGTAGTGAACCCTACAACAACCCTACAGGGTTTCCGTCAGTACAGGTTAGGTGGTAGTGAACCCTACAACAACCCTACAGGGTTTCCGTCAGTACAGGTTAGGTGGTAGTGAACCCTACAACAACCCTACAGGGTTTCCTTCAGTACAGGTTAGGTGGTAGTGAACCCTACAACAACCCTACAGGGTTTCCGTCAGTACAGGTTAGGTGGTAGTGAACCCTACAACAACCCTACAGGGTTTCCGTCAGTACAGGTAAGGTGGTAGTGAACCCTACAACAACCCTACAGGGTTTCCGTCAGTACAGGTTAGGTGGTAGTGAACCCTACAACAACCCTACAGGGTTTCCGTCAGTACAGGTTAGGTGGTAGTGAACCCTACAACAACCCTACAGGGTTTCCGTCAGTACAGGTAAGGTGGTAGTGAACCCTACAACAACCCTACAGGGTTTCCGTCAGTACAGGTTAGGTGGTAGTGAACCCTACAACAACCCTACAGGGTTTCCGTCAGTACAGGTTAGGTGGTAGTGAACCCTACAACAACCCTACAGGGTTTCCGTCAGTACAGGTTAGGTGGTAGTGAACCCTACAACAACCCTACAGGGTTTCCGTCAGTACAGGTTAGGTGGTAGTGAACCCTACAACAACCCTACAGGGTTTCCGTCAGTACAGGTAAGGTGGTAGTGAACCCTACAACAACCCTACAGGGTTTCCGTCAGTACAGGTTAGGTGGTAGTGAACCCTACAACAACCCTACAGGGTTTCCGTCAGTACAGGTAAGGTGGTAGTGAACCCTACAACAACCCTACAGGGTTTCCGTCAGTACAGGTTAGGTGGTAGTGAACCCTACAACAACCCTACAGGGTTTCCGTCAGTACAGGTTAGGTGGTAGTGAACCCTACAACAACCCTACAGGGTTTCCGTCAGTACAGGTTAGGTGGTAGTGAACCCTACAACAACCCTACAGGGTTTCCGTCAGTACAGGTTAGGTGGTAGTGAACCCTACAACAACCCTACAGGGTTTCCGTCAGTACAGGTAAGGTGGTAGTGAACCCTACAACAACCCTACAGGGTTTCCGTCAGTACAGGTTAGGTGGTAGTGAACCCTACAACAACCCTACAGGGTTTCCGTCAGTACAGGTAAGGTGGTAGTGAACCCTACAACAACCCTACAGGGTTTCCGTCAGTACAGGTTAGGTGGTAGTAAGCCACAACATTAACAACAGGGGTGGGGGTGCTCTCTGTAAGCTAAAGCTACTACATTTGAGATGTGTAAGTTCCCCTAGAGCTACTACATTTGAGATGTGTAAGTTCCCCTAGAGCTACTACATTTGAGATGTGTAAGTTCCCCTAGAGCTACTACATTTGAGATGTGTAAGTTCCCTTAGAGCTACTACATTTGAGATGTGTAAGTTCCCTTAAAGCTACTACATTTGAGATGTGTAAGTTCCCCTAGAGCTACTACATTTGAGATGTGTAAGTTCCCCTAGAGCTACTACATTTGAGATGTGTAAGTTCCCCTAGAGCTACTACATTTGAGATGTGTAAGTTCCCCTAGAGCTACTACATTTGAGATGTGTAAGTTCCACTAGAGCTACTACATTTGAGATGTGTAAGTTCCCCTAGAGCTACTACATTTGAGATGTGTAAGTTCCCCTAGAGCTACTACATTTGAGATGTGTAAGTTCCACTAGAGCTACTACATTTGAGATGTGTAAGTTCCCCTAGAGCTACTACATTTGAGATGTGTAAGTTCCACTAGAGCTACTACATTTGAGATGTGTAAGTTCCCCTAGAGCTACTACATTTGATATGCGTAAGTTCCACTAGAGCTACTACACTTGAGATGTGTAAGTTCCACTAGAGCTACTACATTTGATATGCGTAAGTTCCACTAGAGCTACTACATTTGAAATGTGTAAGTTCCACTAGAGCTACTACATTTGATATGCGTAAGTTCCACTAGAGCTACTACATTTGAAATGTGTAAGTTCCACTAGAGCTACTACATTTGAAATGTGTAAGTTCCACTAGAGCTACTACATTTGATATGCGTAAGTTCCACTAGAGCTAGTATATTTAAGATGTGTAAGTTCCCTTAGAGCTACTACATTTGAAATGTGTAAGTTCCACTAGAGCTACTACATTTGAGATGTTAGAGCTACAATATTTGAGATATGTAAGTTAGGGCTACTACATTTGAGATGTGTAAGTTAGAGCTACTACATTTGAGATGTGTAAGTTCCCCTACATCTACTACATTTGAGATGTGTAAGTTCCCTAACGGCGAGACAGCTCCCATGTAATTATTGATTACACCGGCCCATCGTCACGCATGACTAGACGACCTACCTGTACAGGTAAACAAACAGCCAAGCTGTTTACCACTACAAAGGCCATACCCCAGCCCACATTGATTACCCTGATCAATAATTAATTGAATGCCATGTTGACCTGGCGAGGTCACGGAGTCGAGTGCCAGAGTTAGGCTCCCCATACACCAGCCCGTGTGTCAGTACACTAGATCTGTAGGGTAGTCTGGCACATACAGACATAACCTTCATACCCCAACGCTGGTTCATGATATGTCATGGAGACCACGACTGCTAAGGTAATTTTAAATTGTTTTACATCTAATTAATTATTCTTACGTGTTGTTTAGGTAATAACTTATCCTATGGGTTGTAGGGGTAATTAATTATATATATATGGGTAGTCGGGGTTATTAATTATACATATTAGATGTGGGGGTTATTAATTATTTTTTTAATTAAAAGTTCGCATTGTCTTGAATTGTGTTTTTAAATGTATGTAAGGGTTTTGTTCGTAATTACTGTCCCTGGGGGTGTAAGGTACATTAGTAAAGGAAAAACCGATTACTTATAATTAGTACAGTATTTTAATTATAAACCTAAATAAATCGATGACTATCTCGAGTTTATGGTGTAGTCTAGCTGATTTAAAGGGAAGAATTGCGTTTTAAATTTTGTGCTTGCTGTACAGAATGTAATTCAATACACGGGATTAAATAGGAGAAAGAATATAAAATGACATCTCAAGTTGGCTAATGAAAATAATCTTCTTGTCTGTCATCTAATCATGAAATAATAAATTATTTTTTTGGTAATTATCAAGTCTATTTTTGTGTGATTTGACGTGGGTCTATCCTGATTTTAAATCCACGTATCATGTGATCTATAGCGTCTACAGTTTGTAGGCTATCCAACAATTATCATAAATACAGCTTTTATTAATGATTAAGTTAATGTTGTACACAAATCAGCCCAGAAAAGGATGTACTAAGAATGTCTCTACTTGTGTATATGT